CCCTCAGAACAGGTGACCGGTGGCCAGGGCCCTTCTGCATGGAAAAGCGTCTGTCCAGAACTTTTATACTGATGGTTGAAACTTTTCTGTGAGATTGGGCAGGTTCCCGCGACCAGGCTCAAAACAGCATCTGTGTCCTTTTTACGGACAGACGTGAGCACGCTGGTCTGTGTTCACGGCACACAGACCTCAGGCTCTTGTTCCAGATCAAAACGTAGATTGAATTATGAACACTGAACATTCCCACAAATACAGAAGCTGGTCCTGTTCCTCGGCTGGGTCTCTGGCCTGCCTGAAGTCCTCCCACTAGGAAGCAAGGCACCCCTGGGATCTGGAAGACAACCCCTACCCAGAAGCCCTGCTTGACGACCCCCACCCCCCAGGCTTCTGCTCCCCTCCAAACACCCCTGACCAGTGACATCGGAAAGGGGGCAACAAAACTGAAAACAATTAGCAAAGAGAATTGGCAAAAACAATCAGCCTTGAGCTAAGACAAGCGGACCCTCCTGGGCTCCAAACTCAGAGCCCACCCCCACCCCACCCCAGACAGATCGCTGCCAGATCTCTCCTGTCCAGAAATGCGGGTGATGGGGGCAGTAACTAGTGGCCAGAAATTCCCAGGCACTGTGGTGGAAGAGTGTCCTCCTTCACAGCACCCCAGCAAGCAAGGAGGGAGCGGCCGGCGGCAGCCCCAGTGACCCACCACACAGGCCTCTGCGCCGAGCTCCCGAGCAAGGAGGCAGCCTTTTAATGGGACTTACTGGGCAGCTGAGTGAGTGGGCAGCAGGCAGAATCTTCGAAAGGGAAGGATCAGAGCCCTATATTTCAGAGGAGCTGGCCACTCGAGTCTAGCCCCCAGCTTCATTAGGGATAGTAGGGAATGTGTACCCAGAATACTTCCCCAAGGAGCCAGAGGTCAAGGTCGGAAGGCAGTCAAGGCCCAGAATCAGAAAGGCCAGCCACCAGCCAAGAAGAAACAGGACAGAGCTGCAGTGATCTCCTTTGGAAGTCAACACAAAGCCGTCCCCAGGCCCACCTCCATTGCTGGGGTCAGCCCATGCGATGGACACACATACACACACACACCAGACACATGTGTGCACACGCACACAGGCAGACACACCCGCGCATGCACAGCAGTCAGTTCGTGCTCGGCAGCCCCTCCCCCCACCAGCCAGTTTGCTACAGACACTCACACGTGCTCACAGCCACAGAACATCACCCACACAGCGCCTGTGCCTCTCTGATCTCTGGGACAATTGCTGATGGTTACAGGTTCAAACAGGCACAGAGGAAGAAACGCAGGCAATCGTGGGGTTTCTCCAGAAGGGTCATGGCTGTAAGAGAGGAAGGAGGTGATGGGGGCAGGGAAGGAGGACTGGTCATCCCACACCACGAGGGCAGATTCTCGCAACTCTCCCAAGCTCACAGGGACCCGTACGGGGTCAGAATCTTCTCAGAAATAATAATAATAATACCCCACATCTGAACAGGACTCTCTACTTTCCTCTCCCATCTGTCATCACGTCGTAGAGTAACACCGGACAGTAGGAATGTTCATCTCCTTGAGCAGATGACCGCCCGCACCCACGGAGCCCAGAGAGATTTTCTCCAAAATGATCTTTAATAGCTGAGCATATGTGATGGTTGTGCGAGCGTGCTTGTTTGTGTGTGAGTGCGTGCAGAGGCTTTATGTAGCAGAGTGGGATACAATCAAACAAAAATGAGGTTGCCATGGCAACAGGCTCCAGCATCATTGCAGCCCTATTAACACAAGTGAGGAATGTGTTTGGCAGATGCTCGAGTGTTATTTATGGTATGGGTGTAGCAGAGGGACTTCTAACAGGCAAAGAAGGAGAAAAAAAAAACAAGCCCGTGACGCTCCTACTGTACCCCACGGAGGAGACAACAGTGAGACAAGATCACAGGAGAGGCTGGGAGGCTGCAAACAGGGAGTGAGAGATGGGCAAGTAGCACAAGCCGGCAGGCAGATAAGAGAGGAAAGGTGGGCAGAGAGCAACAGGGAACTGGAAGGGGGGCGGGAGGAGAGAGGAAGTGAGAGAGAAAGCAGAGGGGGAGGGTGATGGATGCTGGGGGTAGAGCTAGAGCAAAAGACATAGGAAGGGAAGAAACACCGTCCTCCAGAGACGACTACATCTCGTTTATCTTTTGAGGAAAAACCGTCAGGAGGCACTGATTCAGAAACCAAGTACTTCTCCTCCTAACTGGAGCAAAGAACGGAGCCCCGAACATAAGGAGGGGGAGGGAAAGAAGAAAATACCCGGGTCAGATAATGATGTTGAGGACGTGGGCTATGGGAGCAAAGGGGCTGGCCTTGCAGGAGAAGAGAAGAATACGGTTTTCCGAGGGCCTATTATGTGTCCAAGGCACTGTGGGGTGGCGAAGGGGGGGGGAGAGGATTTCCAATGCCCCAACATTAGAAACCATGCACTGCTCCCCCATTTCCCTGGATGTGTGTCTTTACCCCAGAAAAGAACAAGGCATGTAACGCAAGCCAGCCTCAAACACCGGCTGCTCTGAGGCAGAGGTTAATGCTAGACTGTCCCACTAATGGTTCCCTACCATCCATCACAGTTTGGTCAAGAAACACAAATTTTCTACCAGGCATAACCAAATACAAACCCCCCTAAAATACTGTTTTCTCTGAAGGCAAGGAGAATGTTTGCATTCCCTCGTCCTGGACCATTGCTAACAAGCTTTGCTGTCCTCAACAGAGCAGAATGTGAGAAGTTAAGTTTAAATCCACCCAAAAGCCTACAGTCAAGTCTAAAGGCAGTAACAGGTAAAAGCAGCCTGGGTGAGGGGTGGTGAAGGTGGGGGAGAGAAGGGAGATTTGCCGGAGAAAGAAGGGGAGCCCCTCAGACAGTCCCTCTGCTGTGGCCAGGGCATTCTTATGCTAAGATGGGGCTGGAGCACCCCAGGACCAGAACTCCTTTCTTGGGATCTGATTCCAGTCCCTTGAAACCATACATCTAGGAGGGCTTAGGGCTAGTTCAGAGAAAATACCCTGAACAATCCTAGAAATTTCTGCTTCTCCATATGGATGACATGCCCTTCCCTCTGCAGAAAAGCTACACCCATCCAAGCAACCTGCCTCCCACCCAAGCCAGGAACAACGCCCAAAGATACGACATCTCTGTGAGAGCCTGGGTCCTCAGGTCAGAAAGACTCGTAGCCTATATAAGCACTAACAATACCAGTTAACTTTTTCTTATACCCCCACCTCTCGATAGGTTTCTCTGTCAAGTTCAAAGCTGATCTCTGAAGATTTTTTTTCCTTCTGATCCCAGATCAGAAAAACTTGAAGCTTCAAGAGCCCCACCTACTCCACTCACTGGAACACAACCAAACTGGCAAGCAGTTATTAAATCCCTACTAAGTAGCCGAAAATGTGCTAGACAAGGGAGAGGGTGGAGAAGGAAAACGATACACGTCAAGAATCCTGCATGCAAGGAGCTTACATTGGACGGGGAGCAAAACCAATGGGCGCTGGAAAATAAGTAAGTGCTCCGCTGTGTGGCTCACACTCTATTGTTAACCATGCAGAAGAGGGAGAGGCCAGTGTGGCTGGACTGGAAGGAGGGGCTCCTGGTAGGAGGTGAGGCTTGGCACAGAGGGTGAGGCTTGGCACAGAGGTGGGAACTGGAAGGAGCATACACAATTCTCTCATTCTCGAGAAAAGAACCCGGAGCCCAGAGAGGCTGCAGATCCTCTCCCTCCCAGTCACGGAGTACTTTGGAGGTGCAGCTAGAGCCCAGCTCCCTGAAGCCCATACTGGTGTTATTCTCTGTGGAGAGATGGGTGCCACACCCAGGAAGCTGGGGGCACAGAAAAATCCCTCAAAGAATATGCAGTACTCAACAGAATCAAAGTCTGAGAAAAGGCATCAAAAGAGGGGAGAAGGGGGAAGGGAATGCCAATGGAATATGGTTAGAGGGTCTATCAGAGGACGCAGACATCCGGAAAGGGGTGGGGTGCAGTGGGGTCCACGGTCAGGAAACTAGCCTAGTCAAGGGCTCACCTGAGCTTCACAGCTGAGCTGCACTGAAGCAGGGGTCAATGCCTGAGGCCCATGCAGCTCCAGACAAGGCCACTGCTAAAGGAAGCAGGTGTGCCTATCAGAGGGGCTGGTCTCACCGGAGGTGGGGAGACCAAGCGCACCTTTCTTCCAGAAGCCTTCAGTGGAGTCACCAGTTAACTAGAGGTTTTATTTCCTCCAGAGCCCACCGTTCTGAGTGCATGGAACCAGTCTCACCAGGAAGAAAGAGCCCCTACCACAAGCAATAGCCAGGAACACCCTAGAAAAGGGGTCACGCCACCCAACGCTAGCTCTCTGCTCAGCCCAGGAGCGGGACTACCACACACACATCTCAGAGGCTCCTTCCCACCTTTGCTAAAGGCAGGTTGTTTTGGTTTTGGTTTTCGTTTTGGTTTAGGGCACTTTCATAAACAAAACAAACTTGTCAGTCCTCCCTCAAGTTCAGGGATCTCTCCAGCTTGGGAGATGGAAAACCCTCGGCCTCAGACAACTGGCAGGGTTATCATTTCTCCTCCTTGAGACCAGGCAAGGGGCGCCCAGGAGCTCCCCTCCTCAACTCTCTATCCAGGAAACCTCAACAAACGAGGAGGGAGAGGCTGCTATGGGGTCCAGACACTTTTGTGAGGGGCCTTTTATATACGGGGGCAGGGGAGGGAAGGGGGACTTAGCCATAGAATTTTCTCCTCCACTCTCCTTCCTCACGCCTAGCCCCACACTAGTGGCTACGTGTCCTCTCCGGGGGCAACGGCATCATTTGTAAATGGACATGCTGGGGCTCAGAGGGGGTTAAGAGGCTCTATAGACACCACTGACTGGCACAGCCAAGTCGCTCTGGCTCTTTCACTGCTTTAGAAAGGGTGATGGGATTGCTTCTCTTTGGAGTCAGCCCGAGGCCTGTGCACCCCACAACCCATGGCCCTGCGGCCAGGTGCGCTCCTACCTGCTTGAGCAGGAACTGGTCCTGGGCGTTGGTGCGCAGGGCTATGGCCAGGTGGAGGGCAGACAGGAGCACTCCGCTGAGTACCGCGGCACGCATGCGCACAGGCAGCAACGTGTAGATGGTGTAGATGAAGAACACCGTCCACCAGATGCCCTCCGAGGCGCTGCGTGGCTGGGGCAGCAGCAGGCCCACCACCTGGACGGCCAGCACCACGGCGATGAGCGCGTAGCAGGCCAGGCCCATGTGGTCCTGGTGGAAGGCGGCGCGATTGCAGAGCACAGCCATGACGAGGATGACACCTACCGCAGCCGCCAGCACTGCCAGGTAGGGCAGCTGGAGCGGGGGCCGCACCGCGTGGAAGGCCAACATGACGAGGCACACGAGCACCAGCACGGCCATGAGCATAGTGAGGCTGCTCTGGTTCAGACGGAAGAAGTAGCGCTGGTACAGCCGCTCCAGCTTATCCGACGGGAACTTCTTGGAGCGGAATATCTGCAGCAGCGCCAGGCAGCAGGCGCCCAGCGACAGCACTGCGCCGGGCCCCGCGCCTGATTCTGCCGAGCTGCCGCCATCCCCAGACCCTTCGTCGCCCTCGACGGCGCCGGCCTCCAACTCGTCCACCGCGCTGCCCTTGCCCCGCCGCTCCTCCAGGCCCAGCTCCACCGAGCGAGGGCGCACCTCCGTCCCGCCGGCCGCGGCAGCTGCCGCCGCCGAGCCGCCACCGCCGCCCGCAGGGGGCGCCCGGGTGCTGCCCCCGCCAGCCGCGCCCCGGCGCTGCCGGCGGCTGCCGCGACCGCAGTCGTCGCCGCCGCGCTCCTGCCAGGCCGACTTGGAGCGGAAACTGAAGCCAAAGCCCCCGGCCAGGGGGTCGTCGCCGCTCAGCGGAGGATCGTCGTCGTCGTCGCTGCGCCAGCGGTTAGCCAAGCGCTGCTGCTGCTGCTGCGGGGTCACCGCCCCCCCGGATTTCTTGGTGCAGCCGCGGGTCGAACCCCCGGGGGCGTGGGGGTAGCCATTGGCGCGGGAATCCGCCTCCCCCCACGCCGAACGGTGTTCCGGGCCTCCCCGGGACGCCGGCGCCGCAGCTATCTGCGCCGCGTAGCCCGGGGGGCTCACGCTTTTGGAGCCGGACATCCCCCCCTCGGCCTCGTCGTCTTCTTCCTCTTCCCCCCGGGGCCGGGCCGGGGGTCTCCAAGGGGACGGCGGACGGCCGAGCAGGGGGACCAGGCTGGGGTCACACGTCGAGGGCGGCCCGGGGCCCTGCGCAGCAGCGGGGCATCTTGGCACCCCCGTCCTGAGCGGAGAAGAAGAGCCGCAGGAGGGCAAGCGGGTAGGCAGGCACAGCCCCGAGGTGATAAGTGGCTGAGAATCCTCGTCCGGAGTCCCAGGTCCGAGATGGAGTTGGCTCCGAGCTGGGGCAGCTGGGACTGCTCGAGCGGCTGCGCCGCGCGCAGAGGGACGTCTGGACTCCTGGTTCGCGTCGAGCTCGACGAGGACCGGAGTTGTTGCGGACAAGGCGGGACGGAGAGGTGTCCTTGCGGGCGGCGCCTCCCCGGGGCTGGCAATGCCGGGGCGCGGCACTCGCAGATTCTGTCTAAGCGGGGCCCAGCGGCACACGCAGCGAGGCGGCGGCTAGGGCGGCGAGGCGGGGGTCCCGGCGGGTAGACCGAGCGGGTACCCTTTCCTCGCGGCGGACTAGGAGCGACTGGGAGGTGCGGGAGCCAGGCAGCATTATTTTCTTACGAGGGGTGGGGAGGTGGGATGGGGGGTGGAGAGGACGGGGGAGGGGGCGGCGGGCGGAGCAACAGCTCCGGGGCCCTGGGGGGTGGGTCCTGGAGCCCGGGGGGGCCGTAGCCCGCATCCCCCACCTCCCGCAGCGAGAGTGGGAGCGAGGCCCCCGCGAAACCGAGCCGAGCTTTCAGCGCGTCCGCGCAGGGGGCGGGGGCGAGGACCGGCTCCTGTGGCGCGGCCCTTCCCCTCTCGCCTCCCCCTTCCCCCCAAACCGAGCGGGGCTGGCCCGGACCCGCTGGCCCAGGAGGGCTGCCGCTCCGACTCCGTAAGCCCCAGGCTCCTCGCCGCGGGCGGCGGACCCGCCGCCGCCGGGCGCAGAAGGACTAGGCGGAGGGCGGAATCCGGCGCAGCGCCGCCGCCGTTGTGCCCCGAAGCAGGAGGGCTTCTCCCGGGCAGTGCGGCATCCAGAGATCGAGGGCCAGGGCTCAGATGCAGCCGGCCGAGAGGGGTCCGCCCAAGAGCTGCTGCGACCCGGGGGTGCTCCGAGGAGGCCGGCTGGAGCCGGGCTCAGGGCGCGCCATGCACGCCTCGGGCCCTGCGCCGCTCCGGCCGCTCGCGCCGCTCCTCCCTTCTCGCCCGCTTGCCGCCGCCGCCGCCGCCGCCGCCGGAGAGCCCTCCGCATCCCCTCCTCCCGCCGCCTCCCCGCCCCCCGCGCTGCTCGGGCCTCGGCTCAGAGAGGCGCGCGGCCGCCTCCGCCCCCGGCCGGGCCGCGGCCCCCGCCTCTGCGCCCCGCGGGCATCCTCAGGCCAGGCCCCGTGAGGCGCCCGGGGCCGCGGGGTCCCCAGTTCCCCTTCCTCACCTAAATTTCTCGCCGCACCCCCTCCCTCCCAGGCGCCTGGAGCCTCGTCCAGCCGGCAGTCCCTTCGCTGGACCTGGGTGGCGTGCGCTCCTCCCCCGCCCCCTGCTTAGGTTCTTGCGCCCCTAGTCCAAGCTCCCCTCTTTTGCATCCCCCTTTAATCCCCCTCCCCCCATTCAACCCAACTTCAGCCCCCGCGCTGCGCCCCCCTTCCCTGGCCCGGCTCTATTGGCCGCTTCCTGAGCTGTCAGACTTGAGCCCCGCGCTCTTATTGGGCGATTCTCTGGCCCGGCTGCCGTGCCAAAGGAAGGCGCACCGGGCTGGGGGCGCCGGGGCAGCGACTGCCGCAGGGAGCGAGAGACCAGAGTCCCCGGAGGGGCGCGAGAGCCAGACCCGGAAATGGACGGGGGAGATGGAGAAATTGAGGATCTCTGAGACGAAGGAAGGCATGACGGAAAAGATGGAGATGCAGTGGGTGAGGCTGATGGAGCCAGGGCGGGGCGGACAGGAACACTTCGATGGGTAGTTACCTAGAGAGAGCCCAGCAGACAGCACTAGGAACACCTGGCGTTTGTGAAGAGCTTTTGCCTGTTCACACTTTTTCTTTCTTCTTTTCTTTCCTGCTTCTTCCTTCCCTCCTCCTTCCGTCCTTCTTTCCTTCCTTCCTCCCTCTCTCCTTCCCTCCCCCGTTCTTTCGTTCGTTCCTTCCTTCCTTTTTCCTTCCTCCCGTCCTTCCTTCCTTCCTTCCTTCATTCCTTCCTTCCTTTGTACCTTCGTTTTTAAAATCTCATTTGGCTTCCGTCAATAGCCCTGGGGTGTGACAGAGAACAAACAGGGCCTGTGTGACTATTCCCAATTTATAAATTGAAGCTGAGACTTCGAGAGTGTGGTTAGCTTGCCATGGTCACACAACTCCCCTAACTTGCAACGGAAAGATCTTTCCTCGGCACCAAATTGCCTCCTGTACACCTAGCAAGCTGTTAACCCAGAACGAAGTGGGGTCCCCCCTGGACCTCGGATGACCAGACACTCCTGCACAGCACCAGCCACAAAGAGTCAGGAGTGGAGAAAAGGACTTCACTGCCCATCAGTGAGGACCTTGATCTGTGGAATGATGTATCTACCCAATTCTCCTTGCCCCTAAGCTGCTCTACTGGAGTTTCTGGCAGTCTAGACAGTGGGGCAGGCACAGAGAGGGTAGCACACCTCTACTGGAGAGAGAGAAACAACCTTCACTTTACTCTTCTTCCTCCAGCTCTCTCTGCAGAGCTTCTGAGAAGGAGCCTGCAGTCTGAGTGAGCTTCCCTTTGCAGATTGCAAGATAAGCCTTGCCAGAGTCACAAATTGGGAGGACAAATCCAAGAGATCTGAATAAGAAACCCTTGAGCAATTCAGCCCTTGAATAATCAATCCATAATTAGCTAAGCCATAAAAAAGCACCCTGAACTTGGCCCACATACATTCGTAGAGCACCCATTATGTGTCAAGCACCATGCTAGGTGCTCTGGGGATAAAAAGATGAGCCAACTTTGGTTACCATGAGGGAGGGAGAGTAGCTAGCCACTGACTGCAGTTTTGAGCCACGATTTTGTCATTTAGGGATTTTAGGGAGGAGGCATTTCTTCTCATTATGAGAAGGCCAAAAAAAGACTAGAGGTCAAATCAGGTTAGCAGAGAAGGATGAATAGAAGAAAGGAGGAATGGACTGATATTTAGTATTTAGTAAGCAACTACTATATATCTGTAGATATCCTATTGTCATATAAACATTTTGAGGAAGATGTTATTCTCCCCACTGTAAAGATGAGAAAACCGAGACTTAGAGAATCAAGGCCTGTAGTTTGTAGCGGAATGGAACCTAAGGTCAGCCTGCTCCTTGTACTCTACCACACAGCCTGTAGCATAAATGGTATGAGAGGGACCCCCAGATAGGCAGCTGCATGGACAGACCCAGATGGCCAGAGGTATCCAGGTGATTGGGTTCCATCCTTGATCCTCTGATTCCCTGAAGGTCTCCCTAGTTCATTCCTTTTCATCTTATTCAAATGTTTAAAATAACCATCATCTTGGGGGACCTGAGTGGCTCAGTCAATTAAGCATCAGCCTTCAGCTCAGGTCATGATCAGGGGGTCCTGGGATCAAGGCACATGTCAGGCACCCTGCTCCTCAGGGAGCCTGCTTCCCCCACTCCCTCTGCCCCTCTCTCTTTCTCCCAAATAAATAAGTAAATAATCTTTTAAAAAAAATAAAATAAAATAACCATCAACTTACCAAAAAAAGCCATTTATGATCAAATATAGAAAAACTACCAAAAAAAAGACAAAAGCAAACACATTCATAATCATACTACCTAGAAAAAAACCATTAACATCTTAATTTTTTTCTTAACAAAAAATAGGGCTAAAAAAATGGGACCTTTACTGGGCAAATGATTTTACAGTTTGCATTTTTCTGCTTAGCTAAATATTGTGTTTTTTTTCATGTCAGTAAGCATTCATCTACAATATTCCTCTTATTGTCCAAAGAGAATTCCATTGCATGAAAATGGCATAATTTACTTAACCAGTCCCCTGTGGTTGGACATCTTTCACTATCATAGCAGTTTATAGAAAGTTTCCACTCTTTTACTGTTATAAACAATAACATTTTTGCAGATAAATCACATGTATATCTTTATATCCTTAGAAGAAATTCCTACGAGGAGAATTGCTGGGTCTAAGGATAAACTTTTTTTTTTTCTTTAAGGTATTTCGGAAATGTCTATCTTCAGCCCCTGCCTCCCTTCCCAGTACCAAGCTTAGTTAGCCCTGTCTACTGGCGAGCTTCCCAAGGATGCTCCTGGTACCCACCAGGGAAAGTTTCAGCTTATCTAAAAGTAAGTTCAGGTTACTTACTTGAAGCCTGCTCCTCCCTGTTTTCTCACCACTTGTGGAATCACTATCCCCTAGTCTCCCTGATCTTTGAGCTGTGAACCCTCCTCCCCTCCTATCCCAGTCACAGGTTCCTGCTGCCACACCCTCAACTTTTCACATCTGTCTTCTTCCACATTCCCCAGCTGCTACCTTCCCACATATCCTCCCTGCTCCTTGCCTGGACAATCTCCGGCTCTCTCCTTCTTCCATCCTCCTTGCCCTCAATCTGTCTTCCACTTTGTGCCCCACTTTGATCCTGCAGGTCACACCCCCTAACTGAAAACTGTCCACAAAACAGCCTCTTCCCACTCGCCTGCTTTCACTGTCCATCACTTCCCCATGTCACCCAAGCACCCCGAGTTGCCCCTTAAGCCTCTGTAGCGAGCACCTTTCCTACTCTGCCCAGATGACATTCGTGGCACCTCTGTGAAACCCTCCCTCATGCCTCACCCAGGCTGTGAGGCGCTCCCTCCTCCTCAGCTTCCAGCACACCTTGCTTTAATCTCTATTATAGCGCTTGTCACATTGTATTTTCTTAACTTGTCAGAACTGTCTCCACAGTCAGCTGAACTCCTTGAGGGCAGAGTTGGTATCTTACTCATTCTTGTGCCCCGTGCTCAGCCTGGTGTCTGGCA